CGCCGCTCCGGAGCAGCCTGTAGCCATGCTTTGGTTTAGTTGCTCGTAGGTAGGTTTTTCTGTCTTACTTCCCCCCCCCTCCCCCCCAGCCAAAAAATGACAATGTGGTGCAGTGCTGCCTGGCGAACGTTTTCGGAGATGCTTGTAAAATGGTGAACGCGTGTCACACAGTCCCGGCGGAGCCGTCTCCTCGCCCGCCGCGGGGGAAGGGGAGCCACGGCAAGTCCCCGACGCCCGGCCGGCTCGTAGGTAGGTTTTTCTGTCTTACTTCCCCCCCCCTCCCCCCCAGCCAAAAAATGACAATGTGGTGCAGTGCTGCCTGGCGAACGTTTTCGGAGATGCTTGTAAAATGGTGAACGCGTGTCACACAGTCCCGGCGGAGCCGTCTCCTCGCCCGCCGCGGGGGAAGGGGAGCCACGGCAAGTCCCCGACGCCCGGCCGGCTGCGCGGGGCCGTGGGCTCCGGGGAAGGTGCCCTGCCCCGAGCCCGGGGTGGCTGCCGGGTCCTGCGCGGCCGGGGCGAGGGGACCTCCCGCAGATAGGCTGGTGCGGTTGTCGTTTTGCAGTCACCTCAGGTGAACCAAGAAGTGGTTTGAGGGAATGCATTGAGTTATTTGGTCAGCGGTACAGGAAGAAGCATCTTTTCGATTAGTTTGTTACTGTTTTCTTGGTGCTTTACATGCTGCTAGCTGTATAATAAAGGGTCTGTCTTTATTTTTTTTTTAACAGCAGTATTAATTGCTATCCTCTATTTTTGCAAAGTTCTAGCTGAAGAGCGTGATTTCCCTATTCGGTACTTCCCAGGGCGCTGTGACATTTCACTGGCATCCATTAGTGCTACAGCAAGAACATCCTGAGTCCTTGGTCGGTTCTTTGGTGCTCTCTGAAACAGAAATGGCTTACTTGAGAATAGAAAGAAAAGGCTTGGGTCGTTTCTGCATGTTCTGTGGAGTGGTGGAAAAGGCTGTGTGGTGAGAGTACTCCAGCATGCTGCGAGGAGGGAAACAAACGGGATTTTCTCCTGTGTCCTTCGTATGCTCCTTTCCTTTTCAGACTTCAGTATACCATACCTATAGAAGAAGCTGTGCTAGTGCAGGAGGGATGGTCTTATGGATAAGATACTGATTTAGGCCTCAGGAGTTTGGGGCTCAATTAGTAACTCTGCTTACCAGCTTTATGTGTGAGTTGGGCATAAGTCACTTTGTGCTCAGCTGGATCCCAGATTCCCCATTTGTAAAACAAGGCTATGGATTTCAAAACCTCACTAGGGATAAGATCACACGTCTGGATCCTCCGTATATCAGGGTGGCTGAAGGCATAACAAGCCCTCTTGATATTTAGCTATATATTGCAGGTCGATCTCTGTCTGTATGAATATACAGCTTGATCAAAATTTTATTGATTTCAAAAAGGATCAAATATAATGTTACATTCCTTTATTTTCAGGCATGAAATATTTCTTGTGCTTGAAGCACAGGTCAACTTTTTCTACTTCATTAGCTATTATCAGCTTTGCCAGGCTTCTGAGGAAAGCAGTCTTTGACAGCACCTTTGCTCTCAGGTGGAAACATGGTTGTGTCCCTGTAGAATGCTTGCTTCTGTTACATTATGTTGCTTTTTTCATACTACCAATAATTAAACACAGCTTTTTTCCCCCCTATTGATCAGTTGCTGAAGTAAAAGAAACCTCTATCCTCCCCATGCTAACTGTTGACATGGAAAACAAGGAAAATGGCTCTCTGGATGTCAAAAAGTAAGTGAATCCATAGTGTTCAGTTTATGTAAAAAGCACATGGATTTTGACTGTAGTTTTCCTTTGACTTAATGCGGTTGGCAAGGGTGGGAGCCTCCATCTTTGCTCATTTCAAACCTTCCCTGTTCTCAATTACTTTTATTGTGTTTCAGCTTCGAAATAGAGGAGTCTTGGGCACTGAATTGATTAAAAGTGGTATGTGGGAGGACTGTGTAGCATTGGAGAGATGCAGAAGCTGTAACTTAAGTTAGGGGTATACCTTTCTCCATTGATTTCTCCTCTCAACCAGAGGCTAAAGCAAGTGGTGGCACTGTAACCAATACTCTGCCTCTGCTCACCTGTCTGCTAGTGGCTTTTGCAGAACTGGTGCCTGATGGAAAGAAGTGTCCTATGTGGAAGTCCCCTCTCTGTCTCTTTCAGCGAGACGTATGCCCTTCTCTGCTGACTGCCCAGCCATCTAGAGCTGAGAAGTAGCAGCAGCAGCATATGTCTTTGGTGTCAGTTCTCTTCTGGAACAGATATTTTAAGCTGTTTGCTGGAGAAGCCCTAAACTGCTGGGTTATTACTTCAGACCTAGGGTGGGAATAAGACAGAGACACGGTGTGCACTGCTCTACAATTTTCTTTAGTGTGGTAGACTGCAGGCTAACGGATAGGAGCTGTTTTGGAGGCATTTCCGTATCCTTGAAGGTCAGCAATTCTTAGATTAGGACTAGCAATTCTGAGTGAAGTTATGATCTGAGAAGTGGAGTTCTGTGTAGAAAAATTTGGCCTTGCTGCATTAGGGTTATAGAAGCTGTGCTGAGATACATACGTACATATATAGAGATATATATATTTAAAAAAAATAAATAAAAAACAACAAAAAACCAAACCACAAAAAAGGGTACTAGAGAGAGTTCTTGGTCGGTCCTCTCAAACTGGAACACTTCTGCAAAGCTGCACCTCATTCTTCTTCAGATCTATTTTCCATAAGCCTTCCAAGAAAACTTAACAACCCTTAGGCTCCCAGGCACTAGAGTAACATTAATAATAATAATAATAATAATAATAATAATAATAATAATAATAATAATAATAATAATAATGGTCACTTCAGGATGCTGGTAAAACATCTGATTATGACACAGCATCAAAAGATCTAATGGCAGCCATTAACATCAGCATGCTGCCCCTTCACTTGAGACATTGGTTACACCACACCAACATAAAATGCATTTCCCTATTCAGTGACTATGAATAGATTATACCGTGTATGTCCCTCAGAAGCCACCTTCAGTTGGCAGTCTCGCTTCTACAATGAGGACTCCGTGGTGGGGGGGAGAAGGGAGGCAGTCAAAGCAAGGATAGTTTGCATTTAATCATTTTCCTCTGAGGCTTAGGTGATAAAGGCTCAACTACTAATTGTGAAGGTGGCTTTTTAAAACTGGTGGGGATTGTAATTAAACTGATCAGGAGCTGTGGTTTCTACATGAATGTATACAGTATGTATGTGTGCATATCTATAAAGGAAGTATTTGGCACTTTTCCTGAAGTGGTTATAAATAGCTTGGATAAAATCTGTTTGTTCACAGCTATATCCTTTCAGGCCTTGCTGCTTCTGCCACATGATGGCAATAAAGGCACAGGGACAGCGGAGGAAAGCAGACAAGCCTAATCTTTATTCGTTATCAGTGCATCTAGTATCTTGTTACAAAGCCTAAAATGCCAGTCCTCTTAAGATTTTATAGCATCCAGGATGTCTGGCATAAACTGGTGTGTGGCTAAGCCATGGCTGTTACATATTCCCTTTTCTTGTCTAAAGAATAGAGCCGTGTGCAACAGCAGGGCAAGGAGGATACTGTTAAAGTCTAGAAGCCAAATGAGCATCTGTGTGAGTAGATGGGTTAAAATCCAGCCAGCCTCCAACAGTGTGCCACATGTCTTTAAGTCTTCTGCAGCTGTAGCTGTGGAAATTGGCTCCACTTGAGGTCCAGCATGATGCTATTCCTTGAGGCAGGAACTTGCAATTATTTCCTGCGATTAGTTAATGACTAAGGTAGAGCCCCTGAAGTCATTGCAGTTGGGCCTGGGATGGGGCTGGACCAAGTTGTAGTTCCTTAGCGGTGAAAGAAGAGCTATGTGAAGAACTAATGCACCTGGGCTAAAATACAAAATTGTGGGAAGGAAGGCTTGGAACCATATTTAGTTTGAAATTAAAGTGTTTGGGGAAGTAAGCGAAATACAGTTAGGAGGTATTTTTACAGATTGAATCTTTTCTTTGCTGTTTAGGAAAAATTAAATTCAATATCTTTTAGGATTTATTCTGTTTTTTTTAAAAATACTGAGCTGTTGGGCTTTTGTTTGTTTATTTTTGATTTTAAGTAGAAGATGAGTCATTGAAAGTGACAGTCTATGTCTTAGGGAAAATGCAAAGATTTAAATATAATTCTTCAAATGCTGCTTTTACAAATATATGTAGGTTTTGTGTGGTGCTTTTCACATTTTACTTCTTAAGCCTCAGAATGTGCACAACACCAAAATCTTAATTGAAAGACATTCTTTGATTTAAAAAAAAAAAAAAAAGTGCAGCTCTGATAAGGCCAGATAGTCTCATTTTCAGTTTTGCTGAGTGTTGCCTTTCTGTGTAATCAGTGAAGCGGTTCATGAAGTAAGTCATTACTTGATGAGCAAAAGTAAGAAACTCTGGCCCTTTGCTCATTGCTCTGAGATATGTGTATATTCCATGTGATAAGTGAAAGAAACTGCCTTTTAGAAGGCCAAGTGCAGCATGCAGCATGAGTCTCTAGGGCCAGAATTTTGTTGTCATATTGACAGGTACATTCCAAGAGTTAGGGGAGAAGCAAAAAACATTGTGTTCACGAGTCCTTCTTCCCAGGGCTCAGCTAGTTGTAGAAATAGGGGTGTTGCAGAAACAGTGATGGGAGGCACTATATGTGATTCTGTTCACTTGTCTTCATGGCTGGTTGGAAAAATGGTTGGCCCCTGATTCACTCGGTTATTTTGCTGAAAGACGTACAAGTCTAGGCAAGACAGATGTGGTGACAGCTGGAAAAGAAAAATTTGAAGGACAGAACAAAAATGATGTCAGGAGAGTGTAATCTGTGTTTCTTTTCCAGCTGGCGCTGTTGAAAATCAAAGTCCTGCCTCTAAGCTTCAGGATCTGAAATGGACAGGATTCTGACATCTGCCCTGATCTATACATTTTCGATATTTCTTTGTTAGCATTATGGTTAAGCATGCAGAACAGTGGAAATGACTGGCATGAACTTTGGGACTTCTGGTTGGAGAAACATGTTAAAGAAGTTCTTTCCTTTGATGTCTTGCTCTTCATCCTCCTAAATTGCTATAGAAAAGGCAATCAAGCTCACTGTGTGTCTTTTTTAACCTTTGTGTATCTGCAAATTCTTGGTATCTGAGATAGGGTGATGGCAGGTTGAGGATAAGAAATGCAGGAGAAGGATAATATGAATGATCGGTTGGTTTTGCTACTGTGGAAAGCAATTACCTGAGGTCAGTCACAGAAGGAATTAATTCTGATTGTGTTTAACAGATGTTTTCTTAGATTCATAGCTATTTAAAAAGCCCATAGATTTGGCCCAAGATGAGTCCAAAAACAACTTTGGGAAATTTTCTATATTGAGCAACTAGTGCAATTATTTGTGCCTCTCTTTTTTTGTTTGTTTTTTGTTTGTTTTGGGTTTTTTTGTTTTGCAAGGTAAAGATGGTTTCCAGTAGTTTCTACCCATGTTACAGGGAAGCGCAGTCTCATCTGGGAAAAGGATAGTCCACATATTGCAATTCTTTATCAGTACTTGGTAGCTGAAAACAAGCTGCAGTCTTGAAAGACAGGGATTTGGTACCTCAGTCATGGTAGTCTTTGTTCTCCAACTGCAAAGGCAGCACACCTGCAGGAGAAGATCCTGACTGATTCCCTTTGGCTGATGTGACGATTCATATACTTTCTTCTTTTCAGAAGGGAGAGGTACCTTAGTTGTCCCCAGCATCGGGTCTTTGAAACGGAAGAGGAGTGACTGTTCTGTATCGGGGCAGGGGGAGGGAGGTGTGTCGCAGGGTACTTTTTCTGGAGGAACAAGGAAGGAGGGGATGTACATGGGGTGTGCACAAAGAAGCAGCAGACGCTCTGCACACATTTAGTGATTACTTGTCTGGATTTGCACTTTGCAGTTCAGTAGAGAACGGGAGACCTCCGGATCCTGCTGACTGGGCTGTTATCGATGTTGTGAATTATTTCAGAACAGCTGGATTTGAAGAACAAGCCAATGCTTTTCAAGAACAGGTAAATCTGTTAGGAAACACCTTTTTACTGCCACCAGTTTCTCACATTGCACATTTTTGCCATGGACCTGGTTATATACTGTTAAATGGGAGTGAAGATCCCACAGTGGGGGGATTTGAGTCTGTTATTGGGTGAAAATCCATGGAACTATGATCTTTGAGTAATAATATTGTTCTACAAGGTGTGGATAATGGGTTGGAGTTTGTTTAAAACAGTTGTCTGAAAGGTGAGGAATCTAAACAAATTTCCTGTCTTTGACTCAGTCTCCCTATACAATCCACTCAGTTTCACTATCTTGTTATTTAAAATGTGAATGGTAATTCCCGTCTTAGTGTATTGTGCAAATACACTCATGAGTATTTATAAAATCTGGGGCTCCTAAGAAACAAGTTGCTTTTGAAGACCTAGGGTGAAAAAGGGGCTGCTGTGTTGCATTGAACTTGGCAGTGCAAGTGAACATGGAAAGGACAAGTTGGCTATAAAGGGGAAGAATCTTTTTAGACACAGGAGCAGCATGTTTGTAGGGCTCAGTCTGCGAAAGAAGTTGGGTCTTCATTTCTGGGCCTTGTAACTGCTGATGCTAATGGGTGGCTTCTTTTGGTAGTTTTGATCAGCAAAGAGCTTAATAGTCATATGGCCCCTTGTAACTCACCTGTCAGCACACTGGTAAGGTCTATTAGTGGGGCAGGATAGGGACGTTGGCTTACTTGGCCCACAGCCCACCTGTTCCGTAGTGAAGGAACTTGGATCTCCAGATTGTCAGTTCAGCACCTTCCCTGATAAGTCCATAGGTTTGCATGCAACTACCAGGAATTCAGTTACCAACACTTGTATTTAGTATCAAAATAGGTGGCTTGACTTTCCAAGGCACTGAGCTAGTGCAAGGTATTGGCAGCTTTTCAGGGAAACTACATCTAACATGAAATAATGTTACTGTTGGTCAGGTTAATCTTGCTGACCTTCAGCACCCGGACAGTGAAATCCCATCTGATTGTAATTGGTGAGTATAACAGAGTATCTAAATTTAGCTCTTTGTTCTTGGGGGTGAAAAGCCTGGTGGTTGGGTAATTCTCTGGCAGGGTGCAGAGAGAGGCTCTTTCTGCAGCTGCTAATTTTTCAGAATTTGAAGATGGGTAAACAGGCAAAACAATTGTTTAAGTGTATCTATTCCTTAATACCAGCAACCCTGTCTCCTCAACAGCCCTGGAAATGTGGCTTAAAAAAACACTGGCGAAGTAATTGCAGCCTCTGGGGTTTTTTCCTTATACTGACAGATACCTCTGACTTTCATCAAATATCTTAACCTCTCTGCACTTCAGCTGGCTTGTCAATAATACTGCAGTAATTACTACTGATCTTGCTGCAGCAAGGTAGGGCTAACTCATGAGTTTTGGCAAAGCAATTTGCAACAGCCTGATGGAAAGAAGCATAGAAGTAGAGTGTAAAGGTTTTATTAGTATTCTGCAGTGAGGGCAAGTGGCTTCAGGAGGATAGCTGAAGTAAGCTGCTTTTTAGCAATGTGTTGCCAGGGCTCTGCTAGGATAGCCATGAGCAGAAATGTGGCTGTGATTCCGCTGCCAACTTCACTTTATGTCAAAGCCTTGGAAAGAGAGGCAGACAGCTGCCACCAAGATATGGCCAGGAGATGTGGGATGGACACTCACAGCAGAAGTCATTGCCACTTCCTTCCCCCTCCATCCCCTTAGCAGCACAAGGAGCGGCAAGTGCCTCGTTCCCCGTGCCAGCTCTGCCAGCCCATTCCCTGTCTGCACTAGGAAGAGCCCCAGGAACACCCCTGTCTCTAACCTCTTACCAGTGGTGGTGGTCTGTTTCCTCTGCACTGTTTACTAGCCACTAACTTTAACTCTGTGTACTTATGGTGTTTGTTACCAGGATCTCCCAGGCCTTCCAGGTATGGCAGTGCAGCCAGCTTCACTTTGAACCCTTAGCCATCCTCTGTCTATAGAGTGACCAGGCGTGCAGCTGAAGCTCTGGCCATCTCTGGTTTTCTCTGCCATTTGTACTGCAGCTTGCCTGGGCCCCAGAAACCTAAATTCATTTGATCTTCTACTGCCCTGAATATGTACTGGAAGAGGAATGAGGTTGTAAATGGTGAAGGAAAGTATTCAATTTCGCCTACAACAATGGTGTCATGGTTTAACCCCAGTTGGCAACTAAGCACCCCACAGCTGCTCGCTCATCGTTCCCCCCTGCCCCGGTGGGATGAGGGAGAGAATCAGGAAGGAAAAAAAAAAAGTAAAACCCATGGGTTGAGATAAAGACAGCTTAATAGGACAGCAAAGGAAGAGAAAATAATAATGATAAAAGAATATACGAAACAAGTGATGTACAGTGCAGTTGCTCACCACCTGCTGACTGATGCCCAGCGTGTCCCCTCGGCCAACTCCGCCAGTTTATATACTGAGCATGACATCATATGGTATAGAATAGCCCTCTGGCCAGTCAGTCCTTGATTAACTGCTACTTGGCAACAACTAAAACATCAGTGTGTTATCAGCATTATTCTCATACTAAATCCAAAACACAGCACTATACCAGCTACTAGGAAGAAAATTAACTCTACCCCAGCCAAAACCAGGACAACTGGGAAATTGTTTTTCACTGGAACTGCTTCAGTAGCACAATGCTTTCCTTACAAAACATCCACAGCCCAGAATGTAATCATGAGATTTATTATTACATTCAGCTTTTACACAACAGTAACTGAGTCCACACTTTGTTTTGATGAATCTGAATACATCTGGACTCACCCAAAGCAAGTGACTTAAAGAATTTTTAAGACCTGAATTTTTCTTACAACAGTTTAAGGAAAATGAGAAGACATTTTAAGGACTGCAGAATGTTTTATTAAAACTATATTGTAAGTGCTGGTAAGAAGTGATGATTGTATTATGATTATACATTATTCCTTCTTGGAGTTCCACTGATGTCAGCAAGTCAGAAGAGCTCACTGATGAAACGAGATTCAACTGAAGGATGTTGCCCAATAACAAAAAAACCAGAACATCAGCAAGCAAATCAGACAAGCCAAGAAGTTGGGGGCACAGGATAACTAAAGAGAAAGGCAGACCAGATGCAGGATGAGGGTGTGACCATCTTCAAAGAACTGCTGCCTGCCAGTACGTGGCTGAGCTTTCTCTGTGAGCCCCGGGAGCACAGGGCGCTGAGGGTCACTCAAAGACTGAAGCTGTTTGCCATGTCTCAAGACACAATAGTGCTATGCCTGACCTTCATTATTGCCCATGTGGCTTCTTAACCATTAGTATTGCAATAGCCAGATAAGCCCAAGTAACCCAATGGTAGTTTGGTGGCCTTGCTGCAATGCCTTACCAGAAGGGAAATGGGTTTGATGCTAGCTTATGTTCACTGCTGCTTTCTAGCAGAGCCATGGCATCCAGGAGCATGTCGGCATGCTGGCTGCCATGCTTTCGTGTTAGCTGTACTGTAAAACCTTGCAGTTCTCAGTCACTTAGAGAAAGAGCAGAAGGAGTGCTGGGGGGACTTGGAGCTTAACTGGTCCTCTGGTTATTTGCTGAAGACAATATGCTATTGCTGCTGAGGTCATGCTGGCACAGTGGGGAATTACTATTAGCTCCAGCTGTGCAGAGGGGTGCCTCTGCAGATGACATTAAAAAGGCATATTGAAAGCTGGCATTGAAGTTGCGTCCTGAAAAAAATCCAGAAAACAGACAAGTAGCAGAGAAGAAATTCGAAGTCACCAAAGCATACAAAATCTTACCTGGTGCCAAAAAACGAAATGACTATGACAAATCTACAGAAGCAGCTTTAAGTGGAAAACTAAAAAGAAGAGGAAGAGGTAAAGCTTACAATACACACAAAGATATACACACTTGAATTCTGAATACACAATCACTCGTTTCTACCCAGATGTGTTTAGAGAATCGGTTTTCTGTTCAATGAAAGCCTGAGTAGTTATCAACATTTCTAGAATCCACGGGGAACCCTGTGGAGGAAAAAGGGAAAGGAATAGATGCTTTTTTCCTATTCTTGGAGTTTCTCCTGTTCCAGGTACTGGATTTACTTCATTTGGATCCTACCAAGCTGGAGGCTGTTCTTCCTCCATAGCATTGCTGAACAGCAGCAGAAAAGGCAACTTCAGATTGGTCATAGCAATGAGCAAAATACTCACTGGTGTCAAAACTCCCACAGAAAGAATTGTGACGAATGGAAAAGAGAGAATAGAAACTGGTTTTAACCATTAACATTCTCCACAGTAATTGGAAAGAGGCCTCTGCTATAATTGGGTAAAAAGTTATTGGAAACTTTTTTTCTTTTAGAAATACTGTTACATTGCGCTCCTCTGAAGGATTAGCAGTCATATCTATTGGGGAGATTTTAAAGAAATTCCACTTTCAGCTGATCTTTGACTATGTTGTGGTTTGTCCACGTATTTTGTATTTATAAACTTTATCAAATCATAAGAGAGATCAATCTGGACAAATTCATGCTGAACTGGAATATACACTTTCCTCTTTTCACGTTGAGTTGTAATCAAGGATGAGATCTCTGACATTTCCAAGACAATATTTAGTATTTCTAAGGAAGATGCTGCAGTGGGACAAATTGATGTGTGATGTTTATAACATTTATAAAAATACAAAATTTTGGCAATACATTATCACAGACAACAACAATATATGCAAGCATTTGAACTGTTTGTTGGCTGTTGATAACAAATTCAACATTTAATAGTGGGGGTTTTATTAAAAGTTAAAAAGAATGCAACGGCAGAGGGAAGTCCAGTGCAGGAGAATGCCATAAGGCTATATACTTCTTTGGGCTATGACAACCTTGGGAGGTCTGGCTGTGTTGTGAAACACCAGTCAATGCATTGTTCTGTAGTTGTAGCTCCTGTTTCCTGAGTAGTGCAGTGTGATTGAACTGTAGGAACGTGTAAAGAAAAGGATGGTCCCGTGTCTAAAACGGAGATGGGAGTTGAGAGATGTGGATTCTTTCTCTTCCATTTTGACCTTTGGAAAAATCATTTACAGGTAGTTTTCAAACATACAACAACATTTTGAGGTGGAAAAAGCCCCAAAGCCTACAAGATTTCTAATCTAAATAGGTGAGAAAGCCAACATTTGAAAGAAAAAAAAAAACAAACATATCTGTGATTTAAAAGTGGGAATTTTAAGCAGGAAGAAGTAGAGGTTGTTGAGACCTAAGCTGGAAAGCTGCTGCTTTTAGCCTCTTCCGTTGTAAGTGGAGGAAGAGAAGTTCCCTCAGCGTTAAGCTCCAGTTAGGCCCTTCTAAAATTTCTGATTGCAGGAGTCTTTCCCCTCGCCCCACCCCAGGAAGCATGGGAAGGTTGGCCTTTTAAAAAAGTCACCTGAAGTTATTAGCAGATACTGACTAGTCCAAACTTGCATATCACTGTCAATGGTAATTCTTCTGGAATGCACTTCATAAGCCGCCTTCTTAAGAGTATCCTTCTCTTAATGGCTGATAATAAGGCAATCTCCACACGTATCCATTAATTTGAAAGAGATTTACAAGGAGGGAATTTTGAAATTAGGCTCCTTTGGGTTTTGTGCTTGACTGAATGGTATTTATGCCTTAGTCAGCACAGGTGAGCGTTTGAAAAGCAGACAGCAGAATTTAGCAGCTATAAATATAGTTTCAGGAAAATAAAGGCTACTATTTCTTTTCTCATTGATCTTCTGTAGTAGTCTTCCATTTGTTGCATGACTGTTCTCATCTGTTAGATTTGTACATTTGTCTTTATCAACTCTTTAATTCTTCTTATAGGAAATTGATGGCAAATCATTACTGTTGATGACAAGAAATGATGTACTGACTGGACTTTCATTAAAACTGGGGCCTGCGCTGAAAATCTATGAATATCACGTAAAACCTCTACAGACACAACATCTAAAGAACAACTCTTTATAGCGAATTGTCTAATTGGGGTCATGTTGTGCCTCAAACAATAAATAAGCAATTTGGTTTCATGTGATGGAACTGTGTAAAGAGAGAATATATCTATTAAGAATTTAAACCAAATTACAATATATATCCTATTGGATAGAGTTGGCAATATACTATATACTGAGTCTGAACTGAGAGAGGTGTCGTGTATTTTTTACATAGTACATAATGATTTTCTCTTTTAGGAATTGTCAATGAGCATGTTGAGATAGCTACATCACTGTATCCAGAACAAAAGGGAGGTATGTCATTCTCATTTTTCAGCCAGACGTGTTCTTGATTTTATGAATTAAAATACCAAAAAAAAAAAAAGAATCCAAAAAAAAAAAAAAAAAAAAAAAAAAATTTTTTACATAGTACATAATGATTTTCTCTTTTAGGAATTGTCAATGAGCATGTTGAGATAGCTACATCACTGTATCCAGAACAAAAGGGAGGTATGTCATTCTCATTTTTCAGCCAGACGTGTTCTTGATTTTATGAATTAAAATACCAAAAAAAAAAAAAGAATCCAAATAAAGTTACGTGCATCTTTGGGAGAGAGAAACCAATTAAAGTAGGTTTTGGTTTACATTAAAGACCTACTAAAATTACTACTTATAATTTTAGGATGGGACTGACACTTGCCAACTCACCCTTTTTTGCAGAGGGTCCTATTTTGACCTTATTAAGGTTTACTCGTGGTATGCTGCAATGTTTAAAGCTGTACATACAACTAACATAACCCCTTCGCTAGCAGAAGGTGTTGCTGACAGGTGAAACTGGGTTGTGTATTTTTTGCGGTCCTTTAACTTTTCAGCTTGTTTTCACCTGTTTTTAATAGTAGTTCTACGTAAAGTATAGTTGGTTTTAAAAAGTTTGTGTTGCTTTGCAAAACAAAAAAACCTTCATTTTATTCCTTTTTTTTAATTTATAATAACTTGTTTTCTAACATTATGCAGAAATTTGTAAAAAGAGTAAAATTCTGCACATTTTTAATATTGTCTGTCGTTGGTGTTGTAATGGTTGATTTTTTTTTTAATGCTTTACTTAACAGTTTGAATACTTGTTTTAAAAACTGAAAGAAGCTGTCTCGTCACCATACATCTCTGTTAAAAGAGAGTCTTGTTCAATCTGTTTGTACCAGTTCCCTATTTGATAGGTTGCTTGCTATATCCCAATAAAGCATTGCCTATGTTTGGATTCAGTTTACTTTACAGATATTTTACTTTCTCTGTTTCTTTGTTGTGATATATTGGAGCTCCTGTTTTTCTCCATTTCCCCATTAAAAAGGTACCAAAACCTACTTAATATTCTATGTTCTTGTGATTACTTTTAACACCACCTACCAAGATATTTAAAGATTTCATTATTTTTGCTTTTTCTTATCTAGTGTTATATACCGCTGAGGGAGAGAATTTGAAGCCCTGGTCACAGTTCACCAGTAACACCTGTGCTTTTCTTACCCCTTGAGCTGTCAGTGGTGCAGAGGCGCTGTGCTGGCCCTGGTACAGCAGGGTGGTTTACCCCAGAATGCCTGAGTGGTGCTAAGCGCTCTCTGGGCTCACCATCTTCTCTGGCCCAGAGAGTTTTGTGATTACCTCCGGAACTGGGTAAACCCCCCTGGGTGCGGGGTTGCATCAGTGAGGCTGAGCGAAGGAACTGGGAAGAAGGAAATAAGCAGGAGAGTGTGGTGACAGTGGAAATGGTGTGGGAGGAAATGGTAAAGGGGTGCAGCCGAGAAGGGAGAAGGTAAGAGAGGGTGGTGCTTTCTGCCAACTGGGGATGGGATTCAGGGAGAGGAAGGAGAAGCTCCTGTAGTCTCCTGCCTGGGTGGTGGCCCTGCCTTCACTTCTGACTTGCCCGAGTGCAAGGTGGCTGTTGATGCTGCAGTGCTAGGAGAGTTGCTTATGGTTTCTGGTGTTGAGATTTGAGAAGGCATAAAGCCACATTAATAGCTGTGCTGTAGGTAAAGCTCACAGTGTATGGTATAATACATAAACTATACAGCAGCATACTTTCTTGTATACTTTCTAACCTTTACATTCTACAACATTTATTTGGAATTTGAGACGCATTATAGGAAACAGGGATGTATTCACCATTTCTCTTTGTCTCTTGTACTGTGCTTACTTCAGTTATCGGTCTGTTAGCAGCAGGTTTGTAAGTCACAGTCTGAATTCTGCTTATGATTTTATTTATAGTTTGGTAGCGTCCAGAGATACCTCCTAGGAGTAGGGATCTTCTGGAAGGCTAGATTCAAATAGAGAGCATCATCCCTGCCTTGGGGAGTTTTCAGGTACAGTCTGTATCAGGATAATTACAGGCTGCAATTGAAAAATTATACATGAAACACCTAAATATTTTAATATAGAAGTAGATATGTTTATGAAAAGGATTAGGTGAAGCAGCTGCCTGTAGCAGTCCAGAGATGCCTACCAGCCCTGTATTTTTAGAATTATTGTTGGAGTAGAATACATAGTGCTATGTTACTGAAGAATGAATTAAATATTCTGTCTTTCTCTATTTGCATGTTTGGTGTGGGTTTGACACATTTTGTAGATCTATGGATGACACAGAATTAAAAGTAAAGCATATTTATTCCATCAAGGAGTAAAAATCTCCACTGTACAGCCATGAGACATCATTTGGTGATTACTGAGCACTGTGCTTTCTTTTAACATGTTTAATGAGCAAATGAATTGCATTCAGAAACATCCAGATTGTATTCCCCTTTTGATCAGCACTGCTAACCGGCTCATACAAGTAGAGGCATAACAGAAAGCTCACTGCAAGTGTGAAAGGGAATTTGGAGGATGTTACTCAGAACTGTAACAATTTCTTTTTACCGTCCCTGATCTTTATTGTAGTTTCCTACTGTTCTCTGAGCTTTCTAATGCTGCTGTTCTCTTTGTGCAGGTGACCGTTCTGGTTTTTGTCTGTTACATTCTCCTTGCTGTTTCTGGGAGAACAAAAAATCTTTTTTAAAAGAGACTGGAGGGTTTGAAAGAGGAAGTCAAAGCCAGATTATTTTTAGCTACCATTCCTCTTGCAGAAAACACAGCTGCTGTTGAGATGAGGAAGCGACTGATGGGCATTACTGGATACCATGTCAGTACTGCAGTTCTGAGAGTCGCAGAGCTATGCAGGCATCCAGTTTATAACGTGTCCTTAATGCACCTGCAGCTAGGAGAGTACCTCTCCCTTAAAAGCCCTCCCTGTGCTTTGGGTGGTGGTTACGCTGCCAGGTGTCCAGCTGCTCAGCTGATACTGGGTGTGAGAGTGGCGATGGTCTCAGTGCTGCAGGTCTCCTTGCCCTCATACTGAACCAGCAATTTAGAAAAGCAGAGGGTCTTACTTTCTCTGAGTCTGGGGGAAGCTCCAAATTTATTTCTCATTTTTTTTTAATGGCAGTATTGTCTAAAATTTGAAGACTGAGTCTGAGCAGGACCAGAAAACCATCATCTTGCTTTGTCTCCATTCCGGTTCTTTACTTCCAAGTCAGAACAGCAGTTCCTTCCCTTCCAGGAATGGGTTTTGGCCCAAAAGTCATGTGGGAAATTAATTGACTGTAAATGTGCATGTGAACAGTGTAACTGTCGCTGGCTCAGTAGGCAACAGGATGAATGAAGCGGTACAGAGAAGGGTCTGCTCTACTCTGTCACCTTCACCTCAGGGACAATTTACACAGGCAATGGATTGGCTTCTGCTTCATCTACCAGAGAGCGAGAGGACTTGATGCCCGGGGATGTCAGCCAGGAGAGCCCATCCATGCCCTGTTCCATCACACCGAAGGCCTTCACGCACCTTCACCTCTGTACTGCTCAGGTTTTGACAGCAACCTCCCCCGGGGGAGGTGCAGAGGGCAGTGGCTGTCATTAGCCCGCTGGCAGCCGGCAGGGGCAGTGGAATAACGGGCAGACTGATTTAGTAGCTTTCATTCCTGTTGGGAACGGCTGTGTTCTTTTTAATATGATAATGTAACACGGTCATTAAATTCTTTTTTGCTTAGCCCCTATAATTAGGGAATTGTTTGATTTAGTGATGTTCCTTTGGATCCCAGATGTGTATTCAACTTACTCCCAGAATAACACTAGCTGGTAGACACTGTAAATTTGGGGAATGCAACTGTAACCTCAAACACCTGGAGAGCCCAAGGGGAGCACCGTGAAGAGTGTAAGTGGCCCTTGGTCTGCATGTGAGAGTTTCATTGCTACTGAAGGCTGCTGGTGAGTACTGGAGACCACCATTGTATTTATGTGCTGCACTCGTGAGCATCTTTGTTAAAGGAATAGTCAGCAGTTATAACTGCTATATCATCTGCTGATCTGCTGATAAGGCAACAACAAATGTCTTGGCGTTGGCAGGCTTGCACTCATCTCAGGATGTTCTCTTCCCCTTTTCCGATGATTGCTATAATCCAGCTGCCCCTCGATAAGCACTCCGCAGTACTTGCTGTGTTGAGGATGCCCCTGACTTTGTAGCAGCTAAATTGTACCAAAAAAAGGCTCATCATTTGCACCAATCTGTGATTCAGGAGTAACATTGCTTTGTCTTGTACGGGTGGATTACAGCAGGAGGAAGGAAGTAAAGAGTAAGGAACTTGAAGCTGAGTTTGTTTCCCAGCTGGTGTCCAAACCATAGGGATGTGTGCAAGCGGGTGTGTGCCTGGGTGTAGCAGCCCTGTTTCACAAGAATACTACTCTTCTATTCCATCCTCCCTTCTGTATAAATACCACATGCCAATTTGCCTGAGCTTCTCTACCTGGAAGTATGTGTAACCTAGAAGATTTGGAAACATTGCAGGAGTACAAAGCCATTGAAATTTGAGCTCTTGTCTTTTCCAGTCAGATGTTAATGTGGGAACTCATGCCACTCTTGAGAGGTGGCAGAAGCCCCCCTTGGTACTCAGGCACTCTGGTTTCTGCTCTTATGTTTCCCTCTGCACCAAAGGTTTCTCTGCCCCCTTCTTTTTCTAGTTTTGAGTCCCTCCAATATTGTTTGGTTTGGGTTTGTGTTTTCAGCTCTGAAGTAGCCAGATAGGAGAGATACTTGTCCTCACGGATTTTTTTTATTTTCTGTTCTCTCCCTCCTTTGATTTGTCGAGTATTTTTTACTATCACTGTATTTCTCCCTCCTCTTCCCTCCCCCCTATCTTTGCTGCTTATCTTCTAGTATCTCTTGCCTCTGTTACCTTGTGTTCCCATTCCAGGCTGGCCCCCTTGTGCACCTCCATTCATCAGGACCTGGGCTACAAAAGCCTGTCCCCACTGGCAAGCATT